TGCTCTTTTCTCTCCATTCTCTCTCCTCTTTCTCTCTCTCAAATAAGTAAATAAATTCTTTTTTTAAAAAAATTTTTTGTTCAAAGATTTTATTTACTTATTTGAGAGAGAGAGAGAAAGAGGGAGAGAGAGAGAGAAAGCACAAGCAGGGGGAGCAGCAGGCAGAGAGAGAAGCAGGCTCCCCACTGAGCAAGGAGCCCAATGCAGGGCTCGATCCCAGGACTCTGGGATCATGACCTGAGCCGAAAGCAGATGCCCAACCGACTGAGCCCCCCAGGCATCCCATAAATAAAATATTTTTAAAAAAGAATATTAACGGGCGCCTGGGTGGCTCAGTCGTTAGGCGTCTGCCTTCGGCTCAGGTCATGATCCCAGGGTCCTGGGATCGAGTCCCACATCGGGCTCCCTGCTCCGCGGGAAGCCTGCTTCTCCCTCTCCCACTCCCCCTGCTTGTGTTCCTGCTCTCGCTGTCTCTCTCTGTCAAATAAATAAATAAAATCTTTAAAAAAAAAAAAAAAAGAATATTAACTTGGTTTTATTAATTTAATAAGTTCAAGTCACAGGGTCATAAAGCTTGTCATGGCATTTTTAAGATTATTAGTTGGAGAACTAGCAAAGAACGTCTTAAATTTGTGTGGGTAAGTCCGCCTGTATAGTAGTCATCCATACATATCTGTAGTGTTTGTTAAGCTTCCCTCTAGAGAAAACAGAGTATATCCTCAGAGTCATACAGAATATCATGCAAATTATGAGGTGCCAGTGAGTATGTGTTAGATGGGTGAATGGGTGCTTTCATGGAGAAGCCCAGTTCTGAGCCCTGACCTATTCAGCTGACAAGTTTATATGCTCTCTGCCAATACAGATCTCATGTCCAAAAATTACAGTCCTCTGTGCTTTCTCTTTTCCCAGGTTCTTTGAAACTGCTTCTCTGAAGATACAAGTATTCTATTTTGAGAAGGTTTTTATAGAAATAGAAAAATGAGGCTCGGGAAACCAGACCCGGAAGGTCCCACAGTGATCATTTAATCTAAATAGTCCCTTCACAATTGAGGAAGGAAGGAGAATGTAAGTCCTGAACTTGGAGGGACTCCACTTCCACCAACTGCTCAAAGATTAATTTCATTAATTGTGACATTTGCATGGCTCCAACGCTCAACACATATGTACTGATCCCCTAATACATGCCAACCACTGTATTGGACTCTGGATCCAGCAGTGGACAAAGGAGATTAAGTTTCTGAGCAAATAGGATTTATGTTGAACAAGAATGAGGCACAGCAGTGGGGAAAAAGAGAGAAAGAAACTATGGGCAGCCTCATTTGAGATAGTCTAACTATGAAAATCATGTCCCTGTCAATAACCAGAGAAAATTCCCTTCCCCCATAGAATGAAAATATTTCTACTTTCTACCTATCTAATCCACGTTTCATTTCAAATTATAACAAACCATAGTCTTGGATTTTTGTTGTTGTTGTTGTTAGAAACTCTCATCCCACAAATCACATAACTTCTGTGCTCATGACTTCTCATCTGTAAACTGAGGATTAGACCACAGGGTTATTTAGATTTCCTTCTACTTTTAAGACTCTTCATTAAGTAGAGGCTCACAAGCGTTTTGGATTCTTTTTCCTACTCTTCCCAGCCCCTTACCTTCCCATGAAGGGCTCGGAGGCTGATCCCTCAGTTTCTATATCTAAAAGACCTCCTGGCTCTTGTAGTTTAGCTTGTGACACAGTGATAATGGGAGAGAGTCAGACATATTTCCTGAAGTACAGCAATCTTCTGGCTTTTTCTTTACTTTTAGATCCATAGAAGGAAGAGCTGACAAGACCATCAATCATTGTGCAGGAATAAATACTGCTAAACTTGTCAGCTTTTTGATCCTTCCCAGATAATTTTTTTTATCTCAGTTCTTGGAAAAGGGAACTTTGCCAAGGTTTTTATTTTTCTTTGCGCTGTCATGTTTGCCGGGCCAAGGATAGAATATTGAGGTCATATGATTTTAGGACTCAGAAAATCACATGGTAATAAAAGCGGAACCAAACTAAGTAACTATATATGAGTAGTGATACAAAAATGAGAAAATTCATTTTCAAAAGAAACTTAAAAGGCAAACGATCTCATGCCGAGTTTACTTTGTCAATTTCTTTAACGAGTCTACTGGAGACACTAAATAAAGGTTTTCTATGGTGCCAAGCTTTGCATTCATTTCAGGTGGAATTTTTGTTCAATGCCACAAAGTATCCACAACCATTCACTTACAGAAAAGAGCCCGGATTAGAGCCTGACTGGGAGGCAAGTCAGTATTGCCCCCGGCAAGTTTATGTACCAACAACAGAAAACAAATTGCAGATCAGGAATACCTGGTAGGTCGTGTAGCTGGCAAGTGGTGATCATCTCATTCTACAAGTGGGAAGTCATATCCCATGCAGTGGTCCTATATCTTCTTTCCACATAGGTAATTCCTCCCTTTGTTATAAGATTAAATACAAGTTCATCTTCCTCTACAAAATCTCAGACCACTGCAGCCCATGAGGGTTACTGTTTTGTTTGAACTAAAAGCACAACTATTTGACTCATCTGTCAATTAATCATGTTCCCCATCTTGTAAAACTATGTTGTATTATTTTTTTTTTTACATCTTTAAGTGTAAGCATGCCTTATCAGGTACTAGATTATAAATTACATTTTAAAAATTTTCATTTTTTTGGACCTGATACTATTTATTGAAGATATTTAACTAGATTTGCTCAAGATTTAGCTTTTCTTAACTCTGTCACAAAACAATATTGCAAAAAACATAGTTAACTTTAAGCAAAAATTGAAAGTATGCTGATATATCTTCTTGACTCTATTATTTTCATTTTTCCAGGCCAGGGGGCCACAGTATCCTCCAACTTTATCTTGTATTTAGGTAGCCAGTACCTTTAATTTCCTCCCCCCCAACAGGAAGAATTTAGCTTTGGTCACGTATCTCAGAATAAATTTAATCCTTCTTTCCCAAGAGAATTAGCAGTTTCATCCAATTCTGCTAGTGAAATGACAGACTTTATCACCCTTCAGAGGAGTTGCCCAGGAACAAGTTTGGGAGGCAAAGAGAGAAAAAAGTCAAGTAATGGTGGCCCAGATAGACCCAAATGGGGGGAAATTATACTACTTTGACAGCAGTCTCCTCTAGCAATCCATTTGGTTCAAAGACTAGGAACAGCAACATCTTCAACTATATAAAGTCCTGGTAAGATATTTAGAACATCTGAACTCAGAACTAGTCACTGCTAGGTAGTCAGTCAATGAAGACATTTTCCAAGAAGAATTTCAGGTCAATACTTGAGATACCTGCATACTTTTATTGAGGAAGGCTGGTTGTTGATGGAAGCTAAGCACTTCTTCCTGAGCAATGATTATACTTTGTATAGATACTAAACGAAAGCAACAACAATAAAAGAGAGAACATTCATTGTCAGCAAACATTCACTGTGAGAGTCCTACTCAGTGAAGAAAGCATATTATAAGGGAGGAGAGCTTAAGCATAGAAGTATGTATTGGCAGCTCTCAGAACGCTTTAACGCAAAAACACTTCATTAATTAAAGAAACATACATCCATAATATATTTAACAGGATTTAGCAGCAGGATGGTTCAAATTTTAGAAAATTCTAATGTAAAAAATTTGCCAATCTTCCAAATGATGTAATGATACTGATTTGCTAAGTACCTAATTATCATCTTCATCATTATCCAAAGACATGAAACCTTTTAGTTTTGATAACTAACTAAAGTGACTATGTATAAAATAAAGTTTTATTTGAAGTGATGAACATGTGCATCATTTTCTTACAGATAGAAAATGATTAGAATTATCTAGAAATTTTTAGATATGTCTATGGGATAACTTGTTGAAATTTAATTTTAATTGCCCCAAAACTGAAGAGTACGATGTTTTCTGGATCTGTAAAGGTGGGAAAATATTCTGCCCGTTCATATAATAGGAGAGATACTTCTCTAGGAACTTCTTTATAGGCCTTCCTCTACGTGGGGCTATCATAAACCTGTTTCTACAACTCATGAATCAGAAAGTTTTATCCAATGGCAAATCATTTCGCTGACCTCTGGAGTGGAAACCTCATTGTATTCAGTAGGTGATAGTGTAATTCAAAGATATCACCAGTGCAGGTGTTCTTGGCATTAGCCCATGGCCTCACCCATAGTCATTGTAACAACAGAAGAAATTAAGACTGAGGCAAAGGAGGTCAGGACAATGGGAAAAATGGCAAATGGCATTCTTTCAAGCAGGAGAAATACTAGCAAAATTACCATAGTCATGCCTCTTGCTAGCTTTTCTCCTTTTTCAAGGTCTGGAAAATATTCCGCAGGTTTGCCAAATACAGCAGATTTGCCATTGGAGAACAGAGGCTTTGGTATTTCAAAACAGAAGATTTTTAGACACTGCTTTTGAAATGATTTCAAATCAATGTTTTTAAAGGTTGTCATCTCAGTTGTTAAATTTTTTAAATTAAAAAGGAATATTTTGCATGCACATAATAGGAAGCTCATTATGCATGATTAGATGCAAAATGTTTCCCTAGGCTTTTCTCTTCCACTACCCATATGTAATCTCAGTCTCTCCCTAGTCTACCTGCATCAACTTGGGCAGGCTTTTCTGTTTCCTGTGACCTCCTTCTCTTCCTGGCTGCAAAGGGCATTGGCTTTAAAACTAAAAGCTGTGGCTAAGTTCTACTACTACTGTGGCAACGGCTATTGTGGGAACCAGATAGCTTTCTGTTCCATATTAACTGACGTGATGTAAAAAGATTTGTACTGAGTGAAATAATAGAGGTGCCCTTACTCCTGAAGCTGCTCTGAATAAGTTAATTCAGAATTTGACAGAATAGAAGTATTCAACTATTTTAACCTTGAAACGTACATTTATGTTGTGTTTTAAAGGAAGGCAAAGGGAAACCGATTTTTAGCATAACCTACTGTTTTTCCTCTCCTACACAGGCCCACCAAGACTATCACTATGACCGATGGGGACTATGATTATCTGATCAAACTCCTGGCCCTTGGAGATTCAGGGGTGGGGAAGACGACATTTCTTTATCGATACACAGACAATAAATTCAATCCCAAGTTTATCACGACAGTAGGAATAGACTTTCGGGAAAAACGTGTGGTGAGTTTTTAACCATACTGTTATGTTAACCTTGTTGCTTATTTCTACACCCCCCCCATATAAAATAGAATTAAGAAGCTATGTTTATTGCATTCCAAGGTGCCTGCCTTTAATCACAGGAAATTCATAACCTGTCACTTTGATTCAATTTAGAATATTCTTAATGTTCTCAATTATAAATAACATTTTGCTAAGAAAAATGTGGAGTGGCACTATCACCTGTCTCCAAAAGCACATAGGACAAAGAAATAATTCACGGGTTTATATAGTGTGTTTTCTATGAATTCTCTAGGAATCTTTCAAAACTTGAATGATCCGGGTTGCAAAGCCCTTAACTCTTGATCTGAGTTAAGTTTCTCAATAAGAACTAGTGTTCATTTCTCAACTCTTCAGAGAGAAGTTAAAAGAATGATTGGCAAATAGCTGGAACATGAGCTTTGTAAGTCCTTGCTGCATTTTTATTTATGTGTAGACTCAACTATCAATCACTAGCTTATTATGAACAGAATGTGAGACCAGTCCATGCTATTTTCCAAGATAAGGGAGTTTAAGTGAGAATTACAACTGCTTTCTTCTCCTATGCTAGACGCTAATGACAGGAATAAGGATATTGTGACATGTGAGACGTGTAGCATAGACACATAAGCTGAGCCAGATTTACTGCCACCCAAGGTATTCTTGATTGCCAACATGGCTGACGCTTCCAGTTGATGTCACAAATCTACTCTTTGCTCGAGGCTTGGTGGGGGGAGAAAAGGAAATCGTGGTTGAGAAGTTAGATCATGGTTCCGTATACATCCTGTACCTTATCTGAAGGTCAATACATTTTAGTGTAGTCTTAGCAACCTGGCTTCCAACCCCTCCAGGGTTTTCCTGTGACTTCACCCCTCCCAAATGCCTCCCCTGACCTAGGAAGATAAGTCCTTGCAAAGTGTTCCCTTTAAACATTTTTACTAAACCGTGCTTAAGCTAAACCACACTTTAAACATCTCTACTAAACCATACTTAGGGGAGCCGATGAAGTATTAAAGTTGTTAGGCTTTGCTTAAATAAGAAGCCAAAAGGCCATAATTTTGAAAATTTAAACATTAAGAAAAAGAGGCTTTGGAAAAAATGGCTAGTAAAGGAAGACTTGAAATATCTTCTGTAAACTTATTGAGAAATTCTGCGTATATTTCATGGGTAGGTCGCTTTGGAAGTCCAAGTCATAGCAAAAGATATTCCGGTATTAGTAAAGCATTTTAGCATTTTAAAAGTACGTTCACATCTGTTATGTCATTTATTTTTGCAGTAACTCTGTAAAGTAGGAAGAGATTGTGGGTCTCAGTTTGCTGTAAGAAAATAAGATTCAAAGAAGTGAAATGAAAGGTTGATATTCGAACCTAGAACTTGGGTCCTAAATCTAATGTTTGCTGCCTCCGTGAGGAAATGACAGAAGGTGTCTAATTTAAGTTTGCAGTATGCCTAAATTGTGTTGAAAATCATACTTGTACTTGACATTTAAAAGTGAGAGTATATGTGATACTTCTGGAAAAAACAGAGCAAATATTTATTCTGCACTATGAACTTTGATTATAGTAATTGAGAAAAAACATGCTGAGTGAACCCAGAGAATTTGAACGTTTACAAAATCCAAAGTAATATCAACTGATGAAAATTGTATCTTTTAGGTTTATAATACCCAGGGACCAAATGGATCATCAGGGAAAGCCTTTAAAGTGCACCTTCAGCTTTGGGACACTGCCGGCCAAGAGCGGTAATAGTAAATTACTTTGTTTCTAGCCACAAACAGCCAAGAAAAACTTCTTTTAAAGTGAATGCTGTACATGGACTTGAAAAGCCAATGTTGTACAACTCTTCTCCTGGTTCTAAAATAGACATTTATGTCAAGAAATGAAAATAAATTATTTATAGTTAATTAATGATAACTAGCATTGTGGATTTGGTATAGATTTCAAAAATCAGATCTTTAGCAATCTCTGGGGATCCTTGTTATATGTTGTCTTTGTACTTTCTAACAGAAAAAAAAAAAAAACCTTCTCTAGAATTTAATTAAATTAAAGTGGGAAATTAACATGATTACAAGTGCAACCTGGAGAGGGAATTGAAGAAAGGGTGGTAAGATCTTTCCCAAGTTTTTCCATTCTTTTGCACAGACTGTCTGTCCTGTGCCTCTTGACTGGCTTAGTTTTCTACGATTTGGGATACACCATTGCTCTCTGGCTAGAATGTTTTCCTCCCTCCCCACCTTCCCTGATCCTCTCCTTTCACCAGGCCTCCTCCGTGGAGCCTTTCTAAATGCCCATCTGAGACAAACTCCCTCTTTCTGTGAACTCCTATGCCCATCCCACCATCCCTAAGCTACTCGATTAATTAAACACCACCTTGTAAGAATGCAAATCTTTGGTTTTTGTCTGTAACTGCGGTTCTTCGATTCACCTGTGGCCTTCTTACCCCAACAAAATTATCAGCATTACAGGGGCACAGACCATGCTTGGTTTTCTAGCATCTTCTCTGGTCCGATGTCCAAGGTAAGAGAAGCTCAGAAGACAGGAGTGTTGTTTGCTTAGAGCTGGAGGAAAAGATGTTTCTTTGAGATCCAAGGTTTCAAAGGGCTAAAGACCACAAGCTAGTGAAGCTTTTCAATATCAGATTAAATAAAAATTGGCAGTAGATTGTCAGAGAAGATGTTTAGAAGGCACATACCTCCAAGTTCTGCATCACATGTCTTAGAATGTTTATGCTTGTAAACACTTTAGTTTTTGAAATGCGTCCAAAGTGTTCTCGCTTTCAGTGAGTGTAAACGCCAGGAGAGGTGCTGGGCCCTCTCTGTTAGCTCTTTTGACTGTGAATTCCATTTACACACATTCTTCAACACTGCTAGTTCTTCTGAAGTCATTCCTCACAAGAATTTCTGTTCATATGTCAGTTTTGTTGTCACAAAGATGTATGTTTTATAGACCAATTTAATTCATTTTTGAAGAAGTAATATGAGAAAATGTGGTTCCCATATGTCCTCACACATGATATGTCAGCCTCGCATGATGGTAGGCTTCTCTCCTCTGCCCCCCTAAGACGGCTGCTCTCTGAGGGAGTGAGGAAAACTAGGGACAGTCTTAGTAACACGAAGGTGATTCATCTCTTGAGAATTTTGCGTTCTCTATAAACTAAGGTGTAACTATGCAACAAGATAAACAGTGTCTCACGCCTCAGCCCTGTGCCTAAAAACATCTGGCAGTATAACCCGTATAAGAGTATGCTTATTGATAAAAGTGGTATCATGGAACAAGGAAAAATCATACCCCTTATGTAAACCTCAAGGATACAGGACACAGCCTTAGTTCCCAGTGAGGGAGAAAGTAATAATGTGACTCTGGGATCTGTTTTTTTTTTTTTTAATGTGGTCCCAGCTTTCCCCACCCTACTGACTCACTGGACAGAATGAGATTGGTGAATAAGCTGGAAATCAATTACCTTTCCCCTGGAGTCACCTTCGGAAGGAAGGGGATAACAAGGGTGCTGGGCAGAATGGTCTGGGATGTGAGCCTGTTCTAGAACAAGAATGTCCTATCCACATTGCTGTAGATGCAAAAATGTTTACCCCAGTGAAATCCACACAAGAAGCATGTTTTAAAAGTAACGTAGCCCCACTAAGCGGGATGGCCCTCGTGTACTTCTGTGTGCCCCTCCCCCCCATGGTGACAATGACACTCTTCCCGTGCTGCGTGTGTTGATTTAGCATTGTCTGCAGTGTACTGCGGTGAAATGGGTGTCAGGCCATCACCATTAACACAAATTTTTTAAAAATGAAACCTTTAGGGGCGCCTGGGTGGCTCAGTCGTTAAGCGTCTGCTTTTGGCTCAGGTCATGATCCCGGGGTCCTGGGATCGAGCCCCTGCATTGGGCTCCCTGCTCTGCGGGAAGCCTGCTTCTCCCTCTCCCGCTCCCCCTGCTTGTGTTCCCTCTCTTGCTGTGTCTCTCTCTGTCAAATAAATAAATAAAATCTTAAAAAAATAAAATAAATAAAATAAAATGCAACCTTTACTGGGGCCCCTGGGTGGCTCAGTCGGTTAAGCGGCTGCCTTCAGCTCAGGTCATGATCCCAGGGTCCTGGGATCGAGCCCCACATTGGGCTCCCTGCTCAGCAGAGAGCCTGCTTCTCCCTCTCCCTCTGCCTGCCGCTCTGCCTACTTGTGCTCTCTGTCTCTCTGTCAAATAAATAAATAAAAAATATCTTTAAAAAAAAAATGAAACCTTTACCAAAGGAGCATCTTTGGACTCTGTTTTTAAAACCTTCTGAGCCATGACTTGGAGCCAGCAGAGTAAGCTGTGACTGTGGACTTTAGCACAACCATCAGCATTGCTGTTCGAGAAATTAGAATTTGCATCCACTTCAAGTTGTAAATCCTAGCCTTTTTTTCCCAATAAAAAGACCATTAACATAAAAAAAATCACTTTGTCATGTGCTATGGGCAATGAGAGGGGGACATGGCACAGTCTTGTCCTTAAATGAAACACACACACAGTCACACACTCTCTCTTTCTCCCCCTCTCTCTCTTTTTGGGAGAGAACAGAGAGCAGTTGTCTTAGCCACACTATTGTAGTTGAGTAGGAGACAATTTTGTGAATACAGCTAGTCCCCAAAGAGAAAGAAAACTTCAGTAAAAGCATCTTTGTGAGCTTCCAGCAACTGGTAGGAACAATTCCATAAGAAAAAATTGAGTAAAATTTTTGGTATTTCATAATTATCATGATTAATGCCTTACCAAAAAATCTAATTTGGAAATAGTCATTAAAATATCTATTCTCTTTGCTTTGGTATTAAAAGAATTGTTCTCTACTGAAGTCATTGACATCTTTAACACTTGAATATCCTTTGCTATTCTCTTTTTCTTTCTCTTAATTTGACAAACATTTTGTGAGCAAATATGTTCAAGACCATGAAAATATAATGGATAGCAAATTAGAAACATAACTCCTTTCTTGTTGGAGCTCACAAGTCTAGGGTAGAATTTGAACAGATAACAAGCAATTGCAAAACAGCCTTAGGACAGTGTCAGGAAAACAACAGGTGATGGGCAGGTGCACCAGGAGGAGCCTATAACCCAGATGTGGGTATTAGGAAGGCAGCTTGGGAAAGTGCTATTTCCTCTGAGACTGTTATATATATATATATAACATATAGTCATACACAGTGTATGAGTGAGTGAGTTTTATCCAGGCTAAAGAGGTAGGAAGTAGAGGAAGCATTAAGGCCAGGTTACCCACAGATAGAACAGCATGTGTGAGAGCTTAGGGGGAGAGTGAACTTTCTAAGAACTAAAAGATCAGCATGCCTATGGGCAGTCAGGAGATGAAGCTGCATAGAAGAGCAAGGGTCAATTCACGCAGAGCCTGACAGCATATTAGAGAGTTCAGTCATTATCTTAAGAGCATCATTTAGATGTTTGTAGCAGAGGATTTATATAGTCAGCAGGAGGGGATCAGTGAAGGGGAGGGTCCCAAACAAAACTGGAGGCAAGAAATGTGTTAAGAAGATGGTTGAAAATATTCAGATGAAAGAGGATAGGCTCAAAACTAGAGTAGATGGGGGCGCCTGGGTGGCTCAGTTGGTTAAGCGACTGCCTTCAGCTCAGGTCATGATCTCAGGGTCCTGGGATTGAGCCCCGCATCGGGCTCCCCTGCTTGGTGGGAAGCCTGCTTCTCCCTTTCCACTCCCCCTGCTTGTGTTCCCTCTCTTGCTGTGTCTCTCTCTGTCAAATAAATAAATAAAATCTTAAAAAAATAAAATAAATAAAATAAAATGCAACCTTTA